GATAGTCCAAATGAATTTCTCCTTTATGTCTCATCCATCAATCGACTCGGCGTTACTCCACTAGCTTTCACGCGGCTCATTCACACTTTCGATTGAATGATAAACCCTCCTCGTGAAATTGATACATTCCACCCGAACTTTTTGTCCCTTAATGACCTCCGGTCAGGTACACCAGACCCTTCAACAAGTGAAATCGGAGAAATAAAAAAAACTAGTTTGTATTTTCGTCTCTTGAGCCGCGTGAATGTCCATTGTTCCGATTGTTAAACCCGAGAGTGGAATAATATTCGGATGATATTTTGAGAGTCGAGAGTAACATCACGAATTAAATTTTCTCGAGAAGCAGGTAGTAAACAAAAAAGGGACGTGCGGTCACGGATGGACGAGGGGTCCACAGCAATCGTAGGGGAGACACCTTACTTCCTGGATAGGTGAGAGAGAATATGTTTGACCCTTGGTCAGGTAGTGATGCTTCAGACGTCTGTTGGGGATTGCCCTCTTTTCTTCTGCACTGTGCAGCGCATACAAAAGTGAATAATGCGGGGAGATTATTACTCAAAAGGCGTTCGCACCTTCGAACAGGCGAGGGGTCACCCAGACGGACAATGGATGGACAATGAAGTACGTCGGGAGGGACACCGAGACGCCAAACAACATAAATATTCCGTATTCTTGTGTTTGAGAGGGGGGACACTTTTCTCGTGTTTTTTTCAATTCACTGGGAGTATTTTTATTCACGCAGTTTGTTCACCCTCTTTAAATACAGGTACTTCTGCGGTCAGACTCAAGTGCAACAGCAATTCATTACTTTTCACCTGTTAATTTTTTTTCCATTTTCTTCCGCTTTAGGGAGAAGCCATCAAAAACTTTTTATGATTTCTTGACTTAAACAGATTAATGTCTTAGGGATATCCAAGTACATCAGAGCTTTCATTTGAGCCCCATTGGATCCTATGTTTCCGGAGATTTCACAATGATTTTATTATTTAAACTTTGCAGCTTTAAAAATCGGAAAAAATCAAATTTTCTCAAATTTGTCAATTAAATTGCGTAAGAAAAAGGAATTAATTTTATTTTTTAAATTTAATGTCAGTTAATATCTTAATAATAAAAATGTAAAAAAAATATTTTAATTTGTAACTTGTATTTCAAGATTGTTTGTAATGTCTTAAATTAAGAGGTTTTAAAATCACGAATTCCCCTATAAACTTTGCTCACCCTCATTAAATGCAGCAGCTAATTATTTTCCAGCCGTTATTTTTTTTCAACTCAACAGAAAAATCGATTGATTCAATCACATAAGTCGTTTATTATCAACGCGAAGAGTCCAGCCAATAGTGTAACGAGTTTACGCGAGTTACATCCGATGACGTCGTATTTCAGGGGAAATTGCCGCACCACCAGATTGGATTGACGATATACAGCCGTGATTTGAGGGGGGAAGTCAAGCGATTTCCGAAAGAAAAGCATGTAAGTGGTCTAGCGAAACGGGAAATACTGAATTGCCTCTCGATAAAAATAAAAAACCGCGTTCTTAATTAATATTCAGAGGGAATCAAGCCGCTGATAAAATGCTCCAGTTTTTTTCTTCACTCTAGGAATAATACGGGGGAAAAATTGGCTATTGTGTGCCCCACGCCAGTGACTATTCAATCTGCATATAAGGAGTCTCTTATCGTCCTTCTTTCCCCCGATAGCCCCCATAAAACCTCTACCGGGATGACGGGAAAATCTCTCGTCATATTCCCCACAAAAGAATGCAATTAAAGTAGTCCCATTCGATTCGCCTGCATCTCTTGCTGAAGGCTTTTCGTAATGCATCTGTTGACAATGCGAGTATGTAAGTAGCTTATATCATCGCAACGTCCGACGACACGCAGCGCCATCTTGCATTTCCGCGTTGAACCCCTCTCTCATCGATATTTCGCGATACACCCAAAAAATAATGACTTGTTTTAAGGATGTACTACACCCCTTCCGCAAAAATTCACGTTTCTTTCATTTTTCTGGCAAATTATTGATCGGATTGACGCGAAATAATACACCGTTTTTGCACTTTATCATTATTGACTGACTCACGAAGTTTCATGGTATAGTGCAATCATTTTCCTGCATTTTTTCTAAAGTTTTGTGTTTCCGAAAAGTTTTAGAAGAAACGCAGGAAAATTATTGCACGATCATGAAATTTCGGGAGTCATTAAGTAATGGTAAAACGCAAAAACGGTATATTTTTTCACGTCAGTCCGATCAACAATTAGCCAGAAAAATTCAAAAAACGTGAATTTTGGGGAAACGGTCACATCCGATTCCAGCGCGCGAAGCTTAGGGTAAACGGGGATTATGGGGTATTTTGAGAAAGTCAATAATTTGTGAGAATGCTGAATATTGTTAGGTTCAGCGAAATGAGTCACAACACACACAAATTGATTAAATGATTGGGGCGGTTTATTAATTAATTAATTGTGAAAGATAATACAAGAACGATGTGTCTTCATCTGAGATCTTCCAAAGGAATGAATGGATGTCGATGTTATCCAAAAGACAGACGTTACCAAGAGTCATCTCTGCTATCCTTCAGACTTAAGACAATTGAAAGGATTCGAAGGGTGATACGCAACAATATCATGAATATTCAGCGTCATTGAAATTAATTTTCGACATTATTATTATTTTTTCTAACATTCGTTTATGCATAAATAATTGAAATTGTTTAAAATCTCGGCAACCTTTTTTTAGGCATGAAATCGATTACGAACAAAGGTTTTTTATGATGGAAAATTGATTGCTTATAAATTATTTATAGAAAATTTGCGTAATTTTCAAAAATTGCAATTTTTTAATTATTTCGTCAGTCGTCCTCCAAACTTTCTAATTTTTTTCAGATTTTTAACATGTAAATTCAGACCTGCAAAGTTTAAACAATAAATTCATTGTAAAATTTCTGGAAACTTACGGTCAAATGTGGCTCAAATTAAAGCTCTAATGTTAAATTACAAAAGACGGAAAGCATTTTGTCTCAAGTTGAGACTTTAAAAGTCTTAATTTGAGTCTATTAAAAATCTCAACTTGAGACATTTGAAACTATAAACTTAAAACATTTGAAAACCTCAATTGCAGACTCTAAAAACCCTCATTTTGCGATCACAAGTCTTAAAATAAAGTTTGTTGTTGTTTTTCGGTCTAAAAATTCCCCAATTAACACCCAGAACTTCGAAAATACTCATCACATGACGATTTTAATCCCCGGTGATGGTGGGAACTACCTGGGCACGTGCTGGACCCTCCGAGGAAGAGGATGAGGATAAAAAATAATAACAAAAAAAAACGGTAAAGGGTTATATCCGCGCCACGCGCCCAACGCCCCAAGGTTAATCTGAGAAATCAAGTCAAAGTAGTTTTTTTGCCGGCCCCCCTCCCCTCCCCCCGTGTTTTACTCTCTATGGCGACGGTGTGCGCCAGCGATGGAGAAGGTAGAAGGTACGGAGGGAGAAGATGAGGATGGAACAAGGATGGTGAGTCGAGTGAAGAAGGGCTTTTGCCGACGGTAGAGGCTTCAAAGACAATATTTAACGGATATACGCGAGCATATGCCCCGCACGTGCCGTCATGCTCCACGTGTGAAACTCACAATTTGTTTGCTAAATAATGTTCTTCGGCACTCTCTCGGGGGCCATCAAATTTTTCACTTCAACATGTTGTTCAGTACTGTTATGATTTGTAAATAATAAAAACGCGGAAAAGGGAATTTCTTGATTGAAGAAATTTCATGTAATTTAAAAACTGTTTTTTAATGATCAAAACGATACACCTAATCAATCAGTTAAATTTCGGGTGTTTCATGGGAAAAATTTTCTTGAATTAATATTGAAACTGTTGACAAAAACCCATTCCATTTTAGTTTATTTATAAAAAAGAGTCACGGGAGTCCGATGTGATGCAAAAACGCAACATGTGATGTTAAAACGTTACATAGATTTTCCCAGTGATTTCAATTCAATTAAATGAAAGTAAATGTGATAAAAAAAATATTAAAAATCTACAAACACGATTAGTTTTAACATCTAACGATTCATGCATTTTTCTCTGTGAAATGTGACATGTAAATTTCAAACAAAAAAATCACAAGGATGAACAAACATATTTTACCTCTTCTCAAGAACGCGCCACCCCATCCCCTGGACTTATTTTACCTCCTAGGCAGAAAAAAGGCAAAATACCCCCAAATAACCGAATAAATACTTTTCTCCTCATTCTGTACCCAGACGTCACCTCCACGGTGTCTTTTCTCACCGACGTCATCGCGCAAACTAAAGAATATTGCAGTTTGTAATTAAGAAAGCGTAGAAGCCGCCGTAAGAAAAGAGAGGAAAATGCAGACGAAAGATTTTGCGCGAGAGGGGAATGAAGGAGAAAAGTGAGAAGAGGGAGTGCGTCTCAGGAGGGTTGAAAAAGTGAGTCGGTGAAAAAGGCGCGCATGACGCTGCGCCCCCTTTTACGCCGACGTTAACTCGGAATACAGGTTATGGTGGGGGGTGAGGGGGGGAGTGGAGTACGCCGGTGGTTACTAATTAAAAATTCTTGTGCTCGAGATACTTAAAACACTAGTCGTCTTCACCCCCTCGCGGGAGTTTCTTTTCTCAAGGCGATGTGACTCCTGGGGTCTCCGTATTCCTGAGCCCCGACGATTCCTCATTCTCCCCTCAAAATCATCGCTCTTTTTTCGGGGAATGTCTCATCGGTGGTTGTGTTTTTTTAATAAATAACAATTTGTGAATTGATATCTCCCGTTATTTTCTCAGCACACAATGTTGTAATTCTTTTGTCAAGATATCGTCGCGCGATTCGGCGCTGGCTAGACGGTTTATAACGGCAATTTAGGAACATCAACGTTGATAAAAAAAACCGCCTGATTTTATCAGCGATTGTATGAAATTCGGGATGAGCTACGTAACATGATGGAAAATATCAGTGACATACGTGGGGATTTTGATTAAACTCACCTTGCGCGATGCGAACTGCTGGCATTTTGATCCTCATGATGACGATCTTCGGACTATTCTGGGTGCACGTGATGGCCAGTTGTTGTCCTGCGATGGCTTCAATTCTCTGTCAACGTTGTATATTTTTTACTACTTCAAAACGGTCAATGGGCCACGAACAAAAGGCTCGCGCTCCCTCGGCCCTCACTTGTTTTCACCCAGCGTCCTCATCGAGTTTACAGTTCATCAACATTTGCAAATAAATAACTGATGAAAAAAAATAAATAAGGGGAGAGCTAGTGGGCTCGTCAATGCGAGTTTTTTCGCCGTCGCATGTGCTGGTGAATTAGTTTCTCTCATTCATGAATACCAAGTACTTGGGAATATTTTGGATGCTCGCGCGTCACATGCTCACACGTTTTCCTCTGTTCTCCATGAAAATCTCCAAGGCTGCATTTTGTTATAGCACTTGTTGACACTTTTACCAAGAGTTTCATTCGAGTTTAACCGAGTTCTCGCAGCAACTGACATTGAGCTTTTAACCAGCAAAAACAATAATTGAAAACAACGGATACAACCACTAGTCACTGCATTACGGTTCCATTAATTCTAATTAAAATAATAAAACGATGAAAACAAACAATAATCCTCAGGTGTAAAAAAAACTTCACTGTCAATTCATTCTGAATGAAAAATGTTCACAACGCACTCAACTCTCCTCAACAATTCTCCTCGCTCTGGCTCCTCACGTCACAGATAAAACAAAGTAAACAACCGAATGTTGCATAAAACTGTCTTTCATTCACATTCATCGATTGTGGGGAACAGAAATATTGAGAAAATAAAACGTAAAGGTGATTGCGAGTGTTTCTTTTTTTTCCTTTTTTTTCGATGGAGAAAATAAATAGTTTATTGAATTGTCACTGGTTGTTGTGGTCCTGGATACGTCGGATGCTGGTGCTCCGGCGTGGACCAGCGGCAGTTATGGTCCGGCATGGGTCGTATCTCTGAGTGGACTGTGCCGGACGTGCGCCTAGTAGTGGCGTTTGGGACCTGGTGTCGGGCACTGCGCTCCAACTTCGGACGCGCTCGGCACGAATCGTCGTGGCTCCCTAGACCGGACACCCCACGCGTCCTGGGGTAGTTTTCACCCCCCTCGTTTATATCCAGTGCGCATGGTGGGGGTAACTCGGTCCGCTGGCGCTTGGGGTAGCATTTTCGGGTGGGAGTGAGAGGCTTTTTAAATGAACGAGCGCTGAACAGAGATGGAGGGGAGCGTTGGGAAACAACGATGAGCATGCGAGATATCGAGATGGTGGAACGAGGATGGAGATTGCTGTACGTGTGGATGTGAAATGCCGGGTGGAGGGAGGAAGTCAGTGTGAGTATGTGAGCATTTTCCTTGTCAATGGAGGGAGGGAGGGGGGAGGACGCGCGAGGACCGCGCGAGTCTGTGCTTCGGCGAGTGGGGAGGATGAACCGCGGACAAGCGCGCGGGGGTGGGGATGTAACACGCGTTTTTTAGTCCTAGATACGGGATCACCCGGGTTCAACAATTTCTCACATTTTCCGCGAGACTATTATTTTCAGATTTTTTAGGACACTTTTACTTCGTTGCGGCGGCTCTTAGGTCTTTTCGGCTGGTGGTTTCGAGGATTGAGGTTTGTTTTGGTGAAGGTTTACGTTTTGTGCACTTTTTGGATATTTTCATCGCATTATAGTTCCAGGGAAATTTCATGATTTTTTTATCTCTAAGTCGAATTCAATGTCCTGTTGTTCTCACCGCAATGACCTCTTGACAACAGTTGAAATAAAATCATCCATTTCATTTCATTTCGTCAATTCATTTTTTTTCATTCTTCGTGATTGAAAATTCTTGGCTGAAAGTTTCGGGGCTTTTCGGACATTTTCATCGCATTATAAATCGAGAAAAATTCAAGCAATGAAAATTCAAGATTACGCGACAAAATATTACGGAGAAAATTATTATGGAACAAAATATTATGAAATCGTAATAGAGAGAGTGATGATATCAAGGCCAAAGCATGAACTATTCGATGGGAAATGACCCGAAAATTGAATCAATAGAATAATAACCCGACACCAAATAATGGGACGCGAGGTCAGTTATCATCGATTACTCAACAAGTGTATAAAGAAATAATTCAATAGCACCATCAACACTCAATAATTTGCAATTGCCAATGATATTCATTGAAAAATTCAAAAGTTGTGGAAAATGTTGAAAAGACCAAATAAAGAGACAATTACACAGTAATGTTACTTCCTGCAATGAAAAGGAGCAATAATAATTGAATATTTATTACATTCACGTATTTTTTATTCGTATATTTCTTATTCAACGTCACTCTCCATGAACTTTCAATTTTTTTAAAATAACAGCGTTGTTCTCATCACAATGACCTCTTCACAAAAGTTGAAATAAAATCGTCCACTTATTTCCGGACATTGGGGTCTATTTTTTTCTGTTCCTCGTTCTCCTCGACATTTCGATGGATGAATGAAAGGCTACGGTTTTCGTTAATGTGAAAAACTACGGTTCAAGGCTAATATCTAGGCGCCCTTTAATTTGTAAGAGTGGCCCCGTCTAGAGAGGATGGCTCTCGTCTTAGTTGGGTCCGAGGGCGCCGAGAATACATACCAGAACACCCTGTGGCCAACTTTAACCCAGAAAATTATGTCTCAGAGTGAATTCAAGTGGGTTTTTAACATAATCACAATGGAAACCACACGTGTCTGGACAGCTTTACATCATTTCTGTGTAAAATACATCCGGGTAAATTATTCCGAGAGGATTCAAGTCCAAATTTATCCCCAATTTTGAAGAGAAAATTCCGGAATTCGGTTTTCTCACTAATTTTTAATGTCACTAATGTCTGAAAATCAGGGACATGTTCCTGAAAGTAAAAATCTCTGGCGTCTTACACAGTTAAAAGGTTAATCTGTATTCTTCACGGTGGATGCTCGCACTGAAACTTTTGAAATTTTCACGAGTACCTTGTCGTCAGTCCCCCCACACCCATCCACCGAGGCCTAACCGTCGCGATACTCCCGCCCAATTTTCCGAGCTTCTTCTTCTTCTTGTCTCTTGCGAAATCTCATCAGACGCGGTCAGTTCGTGGCTTTCTTACAGCCAGGGATTAGATTCTTTTTTTTCACTATCGTTATTCCATTTCGCTCGTTCTCTCAGTGCTTCTCAGGCCGTCTCTCTTTTCCCTCAGGAATGCAATTTGGATGAGTCACCCTGTCGACACAAAATTAACTTTATACAACTTTTTCTTTGTAATGGCATTTGAATTTTTTTCGTGGAGCGAGTGAACGTTAAAGTGCGACGATGAAAATATTTAATTTTGGAGGAGGAAAACGGAAATAGCCGTTCCGGCGACAAATGTCCAAAGGGTGAATGAAAAAAACTCACGTCTTGGGTGACGATGTCCGTTATCCCTCTCGTTTCGTTAGCTCTGTTGTATCCTGTTGGAGATTATTTTTACTCTGGAGCAAAAAAGATCTGTCTGGCGACTCTCTTGGTACGACACATGTGTGCGACGCATTTGGTTGGGAGATGCATAGGGGGGAGTAGTCCGAGCGATATTCGGCCCGGTCCTACGGGGGATGCGCCGCGCTTTTTTCGATGAATTTTTTTCTTCTCGGATGCGTCGTGGGAGTTTTACTGTCCCGCGACGGTGAAGCGTTGAAGGGCCCGCGTCCGTGGGGCATCCAGTGTTTACGTGCATCGGGATGCGATGACCTTAGGCTGGTGGATCCGTTAGGGAGGAGGAACGTTAAATAAACCACAGGTGAAGGTTTATTTAATTTTCAGGCTTGTGGATTTTTGAGGGGTGTTTTCTTCTTTATTTTCGGTATTATACGGTTTGGAAAATGAATACTGTGAGAGACTTCATTTCTGGCGGTCTGAACATTTTTTAAGGAAATTTCAAGGAATTTCAATATTTTTGATTGATAAAGTTACGGGGAATTAATGGAGAATGTGAATTTTAATTGAATTATTTTATGAAAATGACTGGAAATCAGAGAAATTTAGGTAAATATTTATGTTTTTACGGAAAATTGCTGAAAATTCAGGTAAACTTTATGATTTTATCATTTAATTAGTAAAATTCCAATATTTTTTCACTTTAAATCGAATTCAATGTCACTCTGATGTGGTTTTTACCTCAATATAATGAATAAATCATAACTTTTGAATTCATATCTTTTATCAATGTCCCCCGTCTCTCACCACACTCCCGAAGTACTTCACATTCTCTCAAGAAATGTTCATTCCAGCAGAATAAACCCAGAAATCCCCAGAATAATTTCCAAAAAATAAAAGAGCTGAGTAAACGATCACGGTCACTCCAGTTCTAAGCATTCTACGCCACTGTGGCATGTGCGCACAGTAAACCAACGGATACCAAATATAAACCCGGGGACAGGCCCCTTGTCAAGGGTACATATTTCCGAGGAGATTTGGAATACGGCCTCTTGTCTCTCTTTTCCTCAATCTCAAGAGTCTCACTCCAATCGTCTTCCCCCCGCAAGGGTTGCATCCCACGTATGTCACGTAGTGGAAACCGTACGAGTAAATCTATGAAACCGTGGACGCCCTCTTCCAGGCGTCTCTCCGCAGTCATCCAGATGCCCTCTCCATGTGCCTCTACTTTTATAAATAAACTAGATGCCCTTCCATCATGCCCTTCTTCCGGTCACATTCAAAATTCCAGCTGCAATTAATTGTTTATAATCATTCTCGTTGCAAAAAGCGAGACGATCGATGAGAATCACACGTTCCAATTTATCAGCTACTGTTAAATTTTCATATTACAATAAATCTGTAGTGAATTGGTAAACTAGGATAAGTGCATTTCAACTGAGGACAATTATCAAGCGATATCTCGTAAATAAAAACAGATATCGAAATTTTTGTTAGAAACTTTTTTGTAGCCCACATCTCCCTCTACAAAAAAGGTTCTAATAAAAATTTCGATATCTGTTTTTATTTATGAGATATCGCTTGATAACTGTCCTCAGTTGAAATGCACTTATCCTAGTTTACCAATTCACTACAGAAATGATTTGCTCAGGTTCTAATTTATTCACGCTCACTGAATAAGAT